TTTTGATGGCTGGTGACACGAATACTCAGGTAGGTAGACTAAGCGTTCCTGAGGTCCGAGATGGCTTAATGTTCGAGGCATCAGATTACGAACCAGAAGGTTTATGGTTCGAACCCAACCTCAGAATCACGCCTGCTCCTGTCTAAATTTGGGAAACCTGGCAGTATTCCAGCTCTTTTGGCTTATTTCGTTGGCATGGCAGCTGGGCGCTGAAAGGATGCTACAGCTGAATGATTTTCAGTACGGCGCCGAATAGGGTAGTCGTCTTCGGTTGGACGCACGACAACGGATATTGTCCGGATCAGATGTATACCGGTCACAGAATGTTGCTTTGCAGTATCAATTTCCGGAGCTGCAGAAATCGCTTAACAACCTGTTGCCTACCAACGAACCAGTCCCAAATGTAAATTGACCATATCGCCGTCGGCTGTTGATGGCAAGGTTCGGTGACCGGAATAGCAGCGTTGACTCAGGCAATGCACTTGTTCGCTGTTGCTTTTCATTGCGCTTTTCTGGTCTACAGATAACACGCACACATCTCTTAACAACTCAGAAGCCAGTGAAGCCATAAATCAAACAAAACTCCCAGAACCGGTGTTTGACAAGGATGTCCACCCTCTTCATTCTTCAATTTCGTCGTTGATGAAGTAATGACGTGAACTCTGGAAGGTCATCAAAACTCCGGTGTTCAAATCGATGCTTTGAGAACCCTGTCGACTTGAATTACGCCGACGACATAGCCCTTCGAAGACTAAAGCGAAGGAGTTTCTCTGTTGGATAGATTAACGGCCGTCATACCATCTTTCGGCATGAACCTTGGACCTTCAGAGTGTAACAGCATGCTTCAGAACGTACAGTTTCTGAACATACCCCTAACATTTTAAGGAGAACCACTGGAGACTATGGAGACTTCTACCTACCTCGGAACTGTGTCTGATGAGGTCAATGCAAGAACCTCAAAGGCTAATTTGCGTCACTTGTAGCGTCTAAAAGGCATGTCACTGGGTCTCAAGGGTCACATGTACCAATACAGTAAGGACCGTATTGAGGGCGATATAGTTCAAGTGGTTAGAGTGCGAATTTACTAAACGGAAGGTCTGTGGTTCGAACACGACCTGTCTCTCGACTTCCTCTCTCTAAGATTGGGCAACCTGGCAGCATCCCAGCCCTCATGCTTCCTCTGGGTAGTATGGCAGCTAGGCACCGGAAAGGGTGTTGAAGCTGAACGATTTAAGGACCGTACTGTTGTATGGCTGGGAGACGTGGCTTTCACGGACAGATGATATTAGGCGTCTTCAAGTTTTTGACCACCGATGCCTCATAAGTGTTGCTGGTTCTGGATGAAGTTAACGGATTCGTCACGAGATCGGCTGGTATTTGGTTGTGCAGCAGATATCCCAATCGCGGAAATCATCTAGTACCACTGACTACAATTGCTCGGCGATGTTCTACGCATGGTGAAACAGCGTCTACCTAGAGGAGTGTTGTTCTGTGCCTGCTTCAGAATGGCGGAAACAGCGAGGGGAACAGTGTATGACTTGACAGAAGGGTATGAAATATAATGGGGCAAGTAGGTGTTTTTGGTGCACTGCGCCTCTAAGGATGGAGTCTCCGTGATCCCTCCTGAAATTGTCTGCAGACAGTGCAAGGAATGGTCGCTGGTCGATGTCAATGACGTTCGTGTTTTTTTTTCAGATTAACCGATTGGAGGTATCGCCACCTCAGAACGTTTGCGTCATCATCATCATCATCGGCAGCATGACATCAGTGTTCAACACCGATGCTTCACTGCCGTACAACCATGACTTATATGAAAGCCTTATTGTGAAGAAAAGAATAAAGGTGGATGGGGGAGGGACTTAGTGCTAGCTTAACACAATCATTCCGAGGTGCCTACACCTCCAGACATTCACTCAGGCAATCTGGACAGAAACTGACAACAAGAACGCCACTGACATCGGTTGGCAGCCATATCCTGTAGTGTCTCCAACCAGGCGCAGTGAAGATCACGCGGTCCCCATCCTGGAAGGCGAGTAGAACCG